CAAGTTGTCCCCAATTTTTTTGTTATTACAGACAACAGGGCTATGAAATGCTTGTACACATGTCCCAGCACACATGTTCAAGAGTTGCTCTAATCTATATGCCATAGAGATGAATTTGGAGGTCATGGGGAGTTTTTATATTGAACTTCATAAGACAACACCAAATTATTTTCCAAAGTGGGTGTATGCAGAGCTGGTACACACAGGTATAGATTTACCAGTTTTCAAAATATTGAAATAATTCCACATTTAAGAAATAGTGCTCCCCTGAGTCCCTTGAGGATCCCCGTATATTTTCTATGGCCCTAGGATGACTAAACTATCCTGGTTTGCCTGGAGCTAAGAGAGTTTCTGGGACAAAAGATGTTCAGTTTTAAACCAGAAAAGTTCCCAGCAAACAGGGACAAGTTGGTCACTCTACCCCACAGCCTCCTAGCCATCAAAGACCTTCCCGCAATTCAGAGTAACGTCTGACACTGATTAAATATGACTATTGTTCATTGTTGTACCTGCTTATACTCCCAGTGACAGATTATGTTTTTCATTTATCCCTCTCTTCACCATCACTTGTTATAGTCCTAATATTTCATTTTTATTATCCAGGGGTATAAAATGTATTTTCATTATAATATTTTCATTTTTCTCATGTGATTTATCATGTTTTCATAGGATAATTGGCCACATATGTGTCTTTATGAAAGTGTTTCACCAGGCCAGAGAATGACCAGGCTAAGTAAAATGGCTCCAGGCTATTCAAAAATTTCATTTTCCAATAGTCTTTTAAAAACCAAAGCTTTCGGGTGCCTGGGTGGCTCAGTTGGTTAAGCGACTGCCTTCGGCTCAGGTCATGATCCTGGAGTCCCGGGATCGAGTCCTGCATCGGGCTCCCTGCTCGGCAGGGAGTCTGCTTCTCCCTCTGACCCTCCTCCCTCTCATGCTCTCTGTCTCTCATTCTCTCTGTCTCAAATAAATAAATAAAATCTTTAAAAAATAAAAATAAAAAATAAATAAAAACCGAAGCTTTGGAAAAATTCTCTGTTCCAGCTTTACTTAGACTGAGTGGAGCTCTGCACCTCCAAATTGGCCATCAAAGTTTATACCATGAGCATCAATCACAATGGCAAAAAAAGTAAATTGATAACCAATAGCCCTCTCCTACTTTTTTCAGATTGTGTAGGCCACCTGAGCATCCTGTACCATAGCAAAAAAGAAGACAGTGACAAATGAATTATGACTAATATTGCATATCTAGCCAAACTAAGGTGGATAATTAATACATGGATTTTATTTTACTGAGAAACATATAGCAATATGATACTGTTGCACTTTCATCTTGTGGCCCATTTATACTCCCTGTGCTAGACTCCTCTGACCACCAAACTGAACACAGTATAATCTGCTCTAAATGTGTAATCCATACAAATTATTATATGTCCAAAATCAGGGTGATAATTAGTACAGCCTTGAAATAAAAAGCAAATCTAAAGGTAGTCAGAGACTGAAAATGAAGTGCCATGGTTGGTCCTCTTGTCTTTTAAAGTGTTTTAATTATATCGTGGAGAAAGAGGTAGGCTCAATGAAGGTAACTGAGGAAGGCTTCACATACTAATTGCTGCAACCCATGTGTGATCTCTAAAAACAGTGACATTTTCTGGTTCAAAAAGTTTTTGCCCTAGTTCCTTGGCTGAGAGGAATAAAGCATAATTTTAACCTTGCTAAACAATCTTTCTGTGGCTTTCATATTCGTGTATGATAACAAGTTTTTTGCTTGCTTCCATGATGTTATGTGTGAAAGAGAAAGAATTTCTTTTGCAATGTGTATGGTGCATTATTCACAGTACCATGGTATGCAGATAGTGAGTAAGAGAGTATGCAGAGCTGGAGTAAGAGAATAAGTGGCTCACAAAACTACTGAGAATAAGCTTACTCTTGAGGAACATAAATTAAGAGGTTTGGAAAAGAACCATCCAATCCCAAAATACCTCCGAACTCCTTGTTTCAATGCCCAGAATTCCCTCATCCGACCCTCATTATTAGGCCTTGAAATTTCTCAACAAGAGCACCCTACGTATTTCTTTTTAAAGGCAACTATTTTCAGATTATGTGACTCAAAAATAACATAGTGGATGAGAAGGAAATGGCAGCAAAAACTGCATCAACCAACACAGAAGTAAAGTTCTTATAATTCCTATAAATATTCCATATGCCCCTCCTCAACTGACTGAAGAAGCATGAAGGAAACAAAGGCAAGGCTTATCTTCTTTTTATAGCCCACCCTGATCAATACTACTAATGAGTCATTTCCGCCCCCCCAGCCCCTTTGCCACTTGTCATAGCCAAGTGATGATCTATTCTTCCCTCCTGCATCTTTAAAGATCCCCAGTGGAGCCCAACCAGCATCTGACCATTCATTTACCAAGCCATGAGGATGGAATATCTGGCCTGTTTGTTCTAGTTGGTAAGAAATCTTACACAGCTTCATTTACTAAATACTACAAATGGGTTTTTTTTAACATATTATTATTATTAAAATATAAATAATTTATCCACAAAAATGAAATATAAAGAAACAGTTAAGAATTAGAAAACTACTTTTTTGTTAAAACCTGAATTACTATTCATGCTGAACATCTAAGGAATTTTAATGACTACTATGTAGATCATGTATTATTCTGTCATTTTCATATGCCATATCTTTTCATTTAAAGAGCTAAATCCAAAGTCACTTGGAGCAATAAGAAAAATACAACAAATCTCTACAAACATGGAAACATGTAAACCTATGCCTGGAAATGAAACTCCTTTTCTCTTTAGATGGGCTGATATTTGGAGGTGGGGACTTTGGGAGGTAATTAAGTTTAGATGAGGTCATGAGGGTAGTGCTCTCATAATAGAATTAATGCTCAGGGGCGCCTGGGTGGCTCAGTCATTAAGCGTCTGCCTTTGGCTCGGGTCATGATCCCAGGGTCCTGGGATCGAGCCCCACGTTGGGCTCTCTGCTCAGCGGAAAGCCTGCTTCTCCCTCTCCCACTCCCCCTGCTTGTGTTCTCTCTCTCACTGTGTCTCTGTCTGTCAAAAAATAAATAAAATCTTTAAAAAAAAAATAGAATTAATGCTCATAGAAGAAGAAGAGCTCCCTCTGTGTGTCTTTCCATTTCCACCAAGGAAAGGCCACATAAGGACATTATCAGAAGACAGTCATCTGTAAATAGGAAAGAGGACTCTTACCAGACACTGCATCAGCTGGCACCTTGATCTTGGATTTCTCAGCCTCTAGAACTGTGAGAAATAATGCTTGTCATTTCAGTCATTCAGTCTATGATATCCTGTTACAGCAGCCCAAGGTGCCTAAGACATCATGTTATACAAAGGCAGGAAAAATGTGCAGTTACTAATATATATGGTTATACACACAGAGACACCTACACACACATAGGAAAATAAACATCCCCCCTATTTGAAAGGAAGAGAGAAGTCAAGCATTTTATTTTTTTTTTAATTGAATGAATCAACAAAATCGCATACATAGGATTAACACTGGCAAAAAAAATAAAGGATTTGGCATAAATCTAATTAGTCATATCAGCAGAGAGAGGTACAGGTTGGTCTTAGTAAACACAGGGTGGTTTTTGAGTGCAAAGTAAATAAGTGCACTGAAGTACAATACTAATCACATTTGTTCTAAGATTGACCTTACAATAATTAAAAATTGATGCTTGCAACATAATACAGCTGTGCAATCATATTTAAACCTAATCATTTCATAGAGAGAGGAAAGTTGTACAAAAAGGTCAAAAACACTTTAATTTCATGACAGTAAATTTACTCTTTATTCCCAAAGTGAAAATGTCTAATTTCTAAAAGAGCAAACCAATAATTACTTATTATAAAGCTATTTTAGTCAATACTTAATTTCTCTATATTGATTAGTGTTTAGACATTTAAAATGTACCCTACAGCAAGAATATGTGTTTACAATACTATTCTCTCTACTGATGTTTGTAAGTATTACAGGTATCGATTTAAGACATCTCAAAAATGCCAAACTTAATAGAATCATGTGAAACGGGGTTTGATTCTTTTAAAACTGGAATTTAATTTTTCAATGTTTGAATAATAGTGTCCTTAAAGGTCTCTGTATCATGATCACTATTTCTGCCATTACATATTTTAATGATGAGTGCTCGATTAAACAGTGCATTATAAATTCCGCCCCTCTCCCAAAAGTAATAGAGAAAAAAAATATAAAAATGATCAACTCTAGCACTCACAACTGGAACAAAATATTTTCTCTTTATGTACTTCTGATTATTATTCTCCCCCTTAACTTGCATTCTGTGTAACTTAGAGCTCTTTGCAATAAAACAAAATGATGCTTCATCAGGATGTTACTGGGAGTACCAAGGCAATTTACAAACTTTCTATCATTAAGTATGAGAACATCACTGTGAGGCAGGTATTAATATAACACTTCTCTCTTGAGGAGTTCAATGCACTTTACATAACTTTACTTTATTAACTCTTCCTTGAGCTGGGCAAAAAGGCTAAGTAAGATACTTCGCCAATGTACCTCATATCCAATGATGGCATAAAAATAAAAAAGACTCTATCCAGCCACAAACTTTAAGTTCATTTTTACTTCTAATCTGAAGTTATGACTAAAGACAAGGTCTCACTCAATATATTCGGCTTTTGTTAATACTGATTTTTTTAACAGGTTTCAATTTCATAAATGTGAAGTCAGAACTAAACACCTAAAAGAGTATTGATCCTATTAATTTTTTTTTTTAGGTATTTTATTCTTTTTTTTTCTTTTTTAAATTTTATTTTATTATGTTATGCTAATCACCATACATTACATCATTAGTTTTTGATGTGGTGTTCCATGATTCATTGTTTGCATATAACACCAGTGCCCCATTCAATACATGCCCTCTTTAATACCCATCACCAGGCTAACCCATCCCCCCACCCCCTCCCCTCTAGAGCCCTCAGTTTGTTTCTCAGAGTCCATAATCTCTCATGGTTCGTCTCCCCCTCCAATTTCCCCCCCTTCATTTTTCCCTTCCTACTATCTTCTTCTTTTTTTTTAACATATAAGGTATTATTTGTTTCAGATTCAACAGTCCTACACAATTCACAGTGCTCACCAAAGCACATTAATTCTTAAGCAGTAATTCTTTCTGAAGATGGAAGAAATTCAAGGGTAACAATCAACTTTTCTCTCTATTAAAATACATTAGAAATTATGAAAGCAGAATATGATCCTGCGGACAGGCATCGCAACGTCTTTAAGTAAATCTATGCCTTTCTTAGCAAAAGTGGGACAATGCACAAATGGATACAGCCAGATGAGAGATACAAAGTGAAGGGCATAGAAACACTAATAACATGTAACAGTGCTTACCAAGTGTCAGCCACTACTTTAAGGAACCCACATGTATTAACTCATTGCATTCTCATAACAACTCCCTAAGGCAGGTAATATTATCCCCACTTGATAGATAAGGCACTGAGGCTCAGAGAGCTGAGCCTGCCCCAGGTCACAAAGCTACTAAGTAGCAGAGCTGGGCTACAACCCAGAAAATATGATTCCAGAGTCCAGGTTCTTAGCCAATTTCCTAGAAAGGAAGAAAGCTGTTCCCAGAGGCCTCAATCCATGATATACCGTATCCTAGAGTTCCAAGTCCATAAGCTCTCTCCATCCAATTGCAACATTTCCTGCCTGGCGTCAATCTCACAATCAACAGAGAACAACTGTTCAAGTTTGTGTATTGTGATTTCAACATATGACACTAGTATTTAGAAGAGGGTCACAAGGAGGCAGTATAGTATAATCAGGAGTACGCTACTTTAACAGGCTGCCATTAGGCAAGTTACTTCCATCCAAGCTTCATAAGATAGAGATAACGGAACTTACTTCCTGATGCTGTAGTCAGAATTAAACCGGTTAATATTGTTTAACACAGGGCTCACGTGTAGTAAGCACTCAATAAGTGGTTGCTATTAAGTTAATATAAAGTAAGTTAATATAAAATTATGTGTGCCATTCTCAAAACTCTGAAATTCAGAATTAACAGTGAATTTAGCATATCACAATACTGGTGATAAACTAAATTTAATTGATTCTTTTACCAAATATATGTTCTAGGCATTATGCATGATTTTATTTAATCCTCAGAATAAACCTAGAATTGAAGTGTGGTTATGCCACTTTTAGATAGGAAAATAAGCTTAGAGACTTTACTTGCCCACTATTTTGCCAATAGCAAAATCATGTGATCAATTAACTAGATGTTTCCCACAAAGCAGAATGAAAACCTGTAAGCAGGGAGATTATTTGAAAAATTCTTCTCTCTCAAAATATAATGAACCTGAAAAAGTTCCTGGACTAAAGTTCACCTTGTTTAGCTTTGCTATAATTAGAGTAAAGCTGCACCCAGAGAGTAGTTAGAACAGAGATGATAAAGAGCAAAAATACTGCCCCGAAATATATCCCCCATGCCCAGCACATACCAGGTGCTTCTGCTCCTTCCATCAGAGCCACAAAGGAAAAGAGCAGGAGCCAACATTAGGTAGGAGCTTTCTGAGGGGACAGTGTTAGAGGGAGGCAGGCAAGAACTCTGCACTCAGGGGCTGAAGCCCCAGCCAAAGGGAAGTAAGACTGCGATACTGTAAAGCAGATTTGCCTTGAATCAGCTTCACCTGCACGCAAACATCCTGTAGAGGTCTGCTTTTGGTCTATTCATAGAAATCTGCAGAAAAAGAGAAAATACATTACATTAGTCTTTCTCTGACCTCCCTGAACCTTGACCTACCCCTATTCCCTAAATTGGAAATGTCTTAGTTATGCAAAACAAAAATACCTCCTGCTGAATTAGGACACTATTTCCTCTTTCTCTCTTAATGCAAATAAAAAGGTTTTGTCGTTTCCATGTCCACTGTATATACAAAGAAAATTACCTATCATTCTCCTTTAAAGAATATGATTCAGGACTGATTATAATATATACTTTATTTCTACAATGACTGAAAAAAAGCTTTAAGTGAAAGAATGGAATTTTCACTGGCTAACATACAAGCCAATACGGAGGATGAGGCAGATATAAAGTAATTACATATAAAAAGAGTCACAAGCACAATGATACAGAGTTCTTTCACACAGGTGTGGGAAAAAAGTGAAAAACAATCAACCCATATGTCAGCAAGAAATAGAACTGAAAAAGTATCCATATTATCTCAAGAACTCTAAGAGCTTGTGTTCCATTATCCATTATCAGGCAGCATGCAACCTAACCATTTCTTCCATGTTTAGAATATATGACCTCTCTTGATAACTCATTCAAACTTTTAATAATCATTATATGAAAGTAAACCTTTTCTTACCTAACTCCAATCATTCATATGACATGACTGAAACACCTAGCATGATGCTGACCACATACAAGGTACTCCATAAACCCTTGTTGATGGTATGGTGATTTCAACTATTTTCCTTTTCTCTGACCTCAGTGGAGACAGGAGAAAAGCTTAGACAGAAACAATGGCAAATGGTTAGATATAAGAGAAAGTTGATGAGGGACAAATGCAGAGTAGAAGTGAGGAAAACAATGTGGAATGACTCACTGTGCTCTAGTACAGTATGATCTATTTTGGAAGACAGAGCCAGCCACCAACAAAATATGCACTGCAAAACAAAACTTGCTAAAGCATACACTCAGAAAATTAACTGCTTCACTGCTTTCTCACTCAATTCCATGGAAATAATTCCCAAATTATCAATCTCTTTCTAACCCTGACCTCTCCCAGAATTCCTGTTCCACTGGGGTGGTAAGATGGGATATTCTTTCTCCATGATTCACTCTGTCTTTCCTCCTTGGCTTTGCTGCTAATATGGAAGGTGTCTTTGGTGAGAGAGTGAAGAGAACCATTGTGGGTTGCCATAGTGACCCACTGACATTTTAGTAGGAGTAGTAATCAAAATTAACAAGGAAAAATGTTTACTTGTCTTACAGTTTCTTCAGTCTCTTGAATCTAACAATGTATAGAAAAGACCTGACAACGCTCATGCTAGAAGTTAGAAATTCCTGAGGGAGGGAGTAGAGGCATCACTGGAAAAAGTAAAGTAAGCGATTGGTTAACAGTAGGACTCTGGTAATGGAATGGACTTGCCTGTTATCCCCTGCAATAAAAGATCCAACAAAGGGATTAAATTTGGATACCCTGGAAGCACCTCAAACTTAAAATTTCTAAAATTAAACTTCCCCAAGAACCAGTTTCTGCTGACTTCCTTGTTTGTTAAGGGTACACTTGTTCTCTCAGGCTCCAAATATGAGTCATCCTGTCTCATTCCTCACCCACCCCCACCATATCTAATTAAACACCAACTTGGGTCTGTTTTTCTCCTCAGCACTTTTTTGCAACTTTCTGCTGCTTTCTTTTCCCATTGCTTCATCTCGAATTTGGTTTTGGCCTCACACCTGGCTCCCTGACACTCTTGTTTTGGTGTCAGCTCAGATGCCCTCCATTCCCGTAAGTCTTGCTTCGCCTCCTCACAGATCCCCCATCAGAAGTTTTTCCTGCTATTCTAGAGCCTTCAGTTGTCTTCATTTTACAGGAAAACATACTGCTTCTTATCATACTTATTATATTTATTCAAGGATCTTACTTTCCCCACTGGGCTCTCTGCCCTTGCAAGAAAGAACCATGTCTTACTTGTCTTCTTATATCTCTTAGCGCATGGCATTCTGCCCCTCATATACTGAGCGTTCAGGAGCTATTTTATGTGAACAAATGCAGAAACAAAATGACTTTTCCAGATATTGTTTTCAAACAGTGCTTTTCAATCTTTAGAGTGCTACAGAAATACCTGTGATGTTTATTCAGATATTCTGATTCAAAAGATCTGACCTGAGAACCAAGAATGTATATTTTAAGTGATTCTTTTTTTAAAGATTTTATTTATTTATTTGACAGAGAGAGAGACACAGCGAGAGAGGGAACACAAGCAGGGGGAGTGGGAGAGGGAGAAGCAGGCCTCCCGCCGAGCAGGGAGCCCGATGTGGGACTCGATCCCAGGACCCTGGGATCATGACCTGAGCCGAAGGCAGACGCCCTACGACTGAGCCACCCAGGCGCCCCTATCTTAAGTGATTTTTAAACTAAAATTCCATTAGTTTCCATGGCAAAAAAGGTGCTACCTATGCAATTCATAGTCCGAGATGTTGAGATAGAGCCCACAATATTATTCTAAAAAAAAAAAAAGCTTTAAAAAACTGCACACCTCAAATTAGCAAAATACACAGATATCATTTGGAGTTAATTTATTTTTATTTTAAGGATCATTTACTAGGTCAAATAAATCAAGCAAGATAATATTTCAGTTGATAGTTTCTACTGAAAAAATTTCCATTCCAAGCAAAAAAATCGTTCCTAGAATGCACTAACGACAAGTGCACAAAAATAACAATCTCTTTCTCTACAGAAAGGGTTTTGGTTTGCGACAGAAAGTTTGTTGTTTCCCCAAAATTCAAAAAAAAAGTGACTTTAAGATTGCACAATGGTAAGGGCACCTGGGTAGCTCAGTCAGTTAAGCATCTGCCTTTGGCTCAGGTCATGATCGCAGGGTCCTGGGATCGAGCCCCACGTCTGGCCTCCCTGTTCAATGGGGAGCCTGTTTCTTCCTCTCACCCCAGCTCATGCTCTCTATTTCTCTCTCTCTTTCTCAAATAAATAAATAATATATTTTTAAAAAAAGATTGTACAATGGTAAATGGTAGAAAGTAAAAAAAAAAAATTATTTTCCCTCTCTTTATAATAGAACAGAACTTCTACTTTGTCTATCCATAGTCTGGCCTCATCTTGCTTTTTTGCAACCATTTCCCATCTGTGTCAAGTTTACTTGTACCTTGGAACCCCACCACAGAGTCTGTGTGCTTTAGCATAGTTTGAGTTCTTAGAGATACACAGGTTCTTAGGGAAGACACTTCCCATGCAAGGAGAGTAAGTAAACATAGGGGAAAATGGAATTTTTCCTTAAGAAGTCCATGAATTCAGAGAAAACTATCTTTCCTATAGAATTTGGAGATGGACAGTATAAATTATATCTAACTATAAATTCTAACAATTTACATTTTATTACAAAAATACTTTTACAACTAATATAAAAAAAGAATATTTTTTCTTTAAGGCATTAACTCTAATTCTAAAAAGATAGCCAGGGGGTGCCTGCTTGTCAGTCCGGTAAGTGTCTGCCTTCGGCTCAGGTCATGATCTTGGGGTCCTGGGATCAAGCCCTGTGGGACCGGGCTCCCTGCTCAGCAGGGAGTCGGCTTCCCCCTCTCCCTCTGTCTATCCCTCCCCCAACCTCTCTCTCAAATAAATAAAATCTTTAAAATACACTCACAGAGAAAGAGAGAGCCAAAATAAATAATCTTGCATATAAGAAAAATCTGTGTATAAGGTTTAGTTACATTATTTTTAACAGCAAAGTAACTATAAGTGTCCAAAAGTAAAAGACTGATTAAACATACTATAATTTATTAATAAATTGACATAGTATATAATCACTAAAATGCTGTATAAATCTGTTCAATAAAATAATATTTAAAAATTTTAAGAACCTGATTACAAAGGACTATACAAAATATTATAACATTTTACAAGACACATCAAATCATAGAAAATAAACACTAGAAAGACATTCACCAAAATGTCAATCATGGTTGTTTCTGGCTTTGGGGGTTACTGTTTTTTAATTCTGTTCTTAACATTTTATTTATTTTATACATTATAATAAATGTAATATTTTTGTAACCAGTGCACAAAGAAGGAAAAGTCTGGATTGTAGTGATACCTGGGTCACCTTGAGCAAATTGCTTAAGGTCACTCAACCAGTTAGTTACTTCATCTAAAAAGGTGGGCCAATAATTGTACCAACTTTACAGAGTTGTGTAATAATTAAAATAAATGATATAGGGGCACCTGGATGGCTCATTTGGTTAAGTGTTTGCCTGTGGCTCAGGTCATGATCCTGGGGTCCTGAGATCAAGCCCGGCATTGGACTCCCTGCTCAGCAGGGAGTCTGCTTCTCCCTCTCCCTTTGACCCTCCCCTGCTCATGCTCTCTTCCTCTGCCTCAAATAAATAAAATCTTTTAAAAATATAAAAAATAAAATAAAGGATATAATACATGTAAAATACTTAGCACTGGTACATGAATAAATAGGAGTTTGAAAAGACCAGCTAAAGGGGTTGTATTGGAATTTCAAGTTTCCCCTCTTTTTTATTCTCAATCATTTTAACCATCAAGCCAGTCTACCCTTCAGTTCAAACTCTTCTAAATCAAATAAATGTTTCACTAATATGTGGGGGTTTGTTGATTCAAAGAACGTAACTATGGCTGTGGCCCAAGTTGATATTTTCCACTAGCTGCACTGCACATTGGTGGTTTCGATAAATGGCCATAATAGCCAACAGGGGAAAGAAAAGAATTATCTTTCGAATCCATGCTCTTCAGGAATTCTATGAAGGAAACACGTAATTGCTAGAATTTGGCTGGTGTATTGTCACCTGCTTCTCCCTCTCCCACTCCCCCTGCTTGTGTTCCCTCTCTCACTTTTAAGAAAAGTCATGGGACTTCTAATGGTAGAAAATGGTCCAGACCTCAGGTTTGTATGTCATCAAATAAAAATAAATCCTTTAAGCAAAGTACTCTAATGAAGCCATGTTTTACTTCTGGGTACACTTTATTCATT